GAAAGCAACTTTGCGATGATGTCGCGAGAGCAATAGCATACGAATTCGACACATGAGAACCTTGGGCTACTGCGTAACATGACGAAAACAGCAGAGTTTGTCTTTAATATGCTTTAGCACAAGTCTGAAGTGCTTTCGGAAACAGGTGCATTGTGCTGTTTCATTTGCCTGGTCACAGTTGAGAAACTGGGATTGCGAACGTGTCCTCTGCAGAGAGCTTTATGTCTCTCCTGCGCCAATGGAGAGCAGCTTCATATAAGCAGGGCAGTAGCGGGGATGTCTACGTGGTGCTTACATAAAAAATCTCCCTCTGAACGAGGGATTTTTTGTGGGGACTGTGCCTTATGCCATTGTCGTAGTACTAGGCTGGATCATGGGCCAGAAAGCGCTTCGCTACTTTGATGCTGATAAACTACAAACCTGCGTGAAAGATTGGTGCTGGAATGCACCACTTAGTAGGACACAAAGAAAGAACGAAGCAAGACAAACAGCCACAAAAAATGCGGCTACGGTCCCCAGCCCAGCGGGCCGAAGAAATACTGGCCGAGTCGATATCCCAGATGATTTTGGCAGCGGCGGCTACACTTTTCTGACTCACTCCCGAAGGGTACCCGAAGGCTACAGGGCACACCTCAAAGCCAGCGCCAGGATTTCCATATACGAGCCATTGCGAGAGGGTCACGGTGCCAGGACACACCCACCAAGGATTCCACAAGGGTTCCACACCATATTCGCTTTACCTAGTGGGGAAAACCCTGTAGTGCACAGCGCTTCCTACTGCGACTACGCTGCGACGTGGCCCACGAATAAGGCGTCTATGAAAAGCCTTCTACCTTCGATGCATCTCATATGAAATAAATACCAAAACATCATTAAATGTAGTCATCTACTCAAGTTCTGAAACCGATTTTCCTTAAAGTCTCCCCACTCAGGGTTCTTGCTTCTTTGACCCTGTGGAGAGAAGGCCTGCACCAGTGCCGGCGCTATCGCCAGCCCCAGTCTCCAGATATTCACAGACACGCATAGTTTACACATGCTTATTTGCTAATAAACTGTCTTACTTCGCTACTTGTAAGAAATTCCTGTCCTTGTTCAGCGCGTTTACCTCTTATAGGTCACCAACTAGCTATCTTCTTAAGGACACCAGCAAGCCCTATTGTAGAGCCTGCGCACTACATCACTCCTTCGCCATGGCTAGGTGGCCTAGAATATTCGTCTTCAACTGCGTCTAGGCCCTACCGTTTAAACATTCAGACCTCTCGGCCCTGACAAGGCTGGGCTGTCAACTGCTCTTGCCCTCTGTCCCACTCCTGCCTCGGTCGTATGAACGACAGTCTCGAGCATAGTGTCCCATACCGCCACGCTTCTTACAGGTCTCTTCCGGACACTTAGTACGTTCTCCCTTGCTGGGACAAACGCTTGCAGGCTGTTCTTGACCCTGACACTCATAGCACTTCCTGTAGTGCTGAGACACTACAATGGGGCTGACTAGTGTCCTAGGGATGATAGCTAGCTAGCGACCTGCAAGGGCCGCGACACTGGAGGGGGACACGACCCCCCCAATGCATGAGAAAAATAAGAAAAACCGTTGGTGAGTTCTAGTGAAAACATGAATTGTGCAGAAATCGTGTGGAAACTGGGGCTGGCGATAGCGCCGGCACCAATGCGGACCTCCCCCCCTAGGGTCTAGGGGGTAAGCTCCGAGAAGGGAGCGAATCGAAGACAGAGAACTCAGACGCTTCTTGAATTGTCGTATTTCGACGGAATCAAGCTATAGAGACCGGGAAATGGGGCTAATCTAGAGGTAGTATGTAGACCCGTAGAGGGACAGGAAGCAGCGTAGTCGCAGCAGTAGGCGCCGCGCACTACACTTCCTGAGTTTCCCCCCACGCTGATTTTCTTTTCCATGGTTTCTACGGGGCCCATTTGCCTGGACAGCCCCTCTGATGGCTCGACTGGTCCTTTCTCGCAGCTCTAGCACGGCCTACTTAGGCTCATAGTGTCGCCGTGCGGCTGTCACCGCTTGCTCATACGAGTGGTACTCCACCTGCCCGTCATTTGTTATGAGAAGATAAAGGCCCGTTTGTAGCCCTGTGCAATAACATTCAGCGAGTTCTTCGAGTATGATCCCCACGCCACGCTTCTCTACAGTCGCAAACCGTCCGTGTACTCCTTAGAGTTGCCTTTCCACCGTACCTTAGCCAACTCCGTTAACTACTGTTTCTGCGACGTTCTTTGGTCGAACCGCTCCAGAAGCCTCCGCTATACCGCCTCCTAGTCACATAGAGCGATAGTCCGACGTAAATACATCCAATAAGTCAAGGCCGGGCCTACAAGTTGGTCAATCATTCCCTTACGGGGCTCTGTGTGTACCGTCGTTCGATGCGCAGCAAAAAAACCTCCATAATGCTGCTGTCTTCAGGAAATATGGGGAGCGTTGCGTACGATGCCCAGGGCCCCCTCATAGCATCCTTCATGACAGACACTGCGGAGTGGAGTTGGTTCCACTTGACGTACGGCCCGTTCGCCGGCAGGCCGGCAACATTGGGTATAGGTGCCAGATGCGGGGGCGACTCCTCATGCACATGCGGCCGTTCTGCTACGGCAAGTTTCGGGGTACCATGACGTGTTGGTCCCGTGGCCCGCTGGGCGCTCTGCTTGAGGGCATTGCACACGTCTCCTACTGAGTTGGGCCGGTAATACGCTCGTTGCGCAGGTGTCTCCCCAGACCCTTGGGACAAGGCTTTCCGTATTTGTTGCAGCTGGTCCTCTTGGAGAAATTTATGTTCAAACAATTCCCATCCAAACATTGCCAGTTCACTTCTCTGAGCCTGGCCCACGAATAGGGCGCCCTTCTGGCATTCGACTCGTATCTCATAAAGCAGTGCCAAAAAATCAATAATCTGCCACCATTCGAGTCTCTCTATCGAAGTTTCAAAAGTTCCCGATCATACTGCTTGTTTAGTTGACCCGGTCGGCGCAGTGCCCCGCACCGGTGCGGGCGTTATCGCCAGCCGCAATCTTAGGGTATTCGCAGATACTTCTAGCTTACACATGCTATCTTGCTAGTAAATTGCCATACTTCACTACTGTAAGAAGTTTCTGCGCTCGTTCAGCGTGCTGACCTCTTATAGGTCACCACCTAGCTACCCTCTTAAGGTCACCAGCAAGCGACATAGCAGTGCCTGCGCACTACAACAACTCTACAAGTTTTCCATTAATGCGCTTGATAATCATTACGATCATATGAGCGCTAGCGGTCGAGGCCAGAAGAACTCCTTCTGACTCCTCAGCACGGATAAATATTTGCCAGCCATGCATATAGATACTGTAGTGCGCAGGCACTATAACAGGACTTGCTGGTGACCTATAAAGGATATGTAATGCACAGGCACTACAATGGAGCTTGTTGGTGACCTATAGAGGATAGCTAACTGATGACCTATAAGCGGTTAAGAGGTTAAGACGTGGATTGAGCGCTGCAACCTCTTACTGGTTAAATAGAAAAGTAATTTATTAGCAGATTAACACGTATAAACTAGACATGCCTGCGAATGCCCTCCGGTGCCGACAACGCCGGCACCGGTGCGCGTCACATCCTCAGAAGACCAGCAAAGCAAGAACCATGAGAAGTGATGTTTATGAAATATGGTTTCAGGAACTTGAAACAAAATGATCATTTTAACAAGTTAGCACACGTTGCGAGTCCGATGCGTCTGTAGAAGAGAAGATTCCATAGAGCGCTAGAGTTGTGGGTCGCGCAGCATCGTAGACGCTGTAGAGAACACAGTGTACTACATTAGGGGGCTGTTCCGGGATATAAGAACTATTTTTTCCGGACCTGACGGTAGAAATACTTTGCTTTCATAATTCGCACCTAGATATCTTAGCTGAGTAAGGGATGCACCTGCGCAACGGGCGCGTAGTCGGACCTATGCAACAGGAGACTTCTACAATGTCAGTAGACAAATTGCCCAGTGGAATACCAACCCAACCTCGACATAGTACCCCGAAACCCACTGTGGCAGAGCAGCCGCACAGGCATAAGGAGACATCCCCGCAGGTGGCACCTATAGCAAATATTGACGGCATGCCAGGGGACGGTCCGTACGTCACGTGGGACCAATTCCACTCTGCGATGGCTGTATTAAAGAATGTTATAGGGGGGTTTGGAGAATCGAGCGCGACGTCGCCTATACTCCCTGAAGACGGCAGTACTATGCAGGCTTTTCTAATGCGTATCGAACGACGGTACACCCAGACAGGATTGGAGACCAGTGAGTGGGGGAACGCACTTATCCACCATCTTGTGGGTCCAGCTCTAACTTACTGGATGTATCTAGAGCGAACTATCGACCTAAGCGGCTGGGCAACTGTACAGTGCCGGCTTCTGGAACGGTTCGACAAGACAATGTCGCAGAGTCAACTGCTCACGGGGTTGGGTAAAGCACGGTGGAATGGAAACCCTAAAGAGTAAACGGACCAGTTTGCGGCTGTAGCGGAGCGTGGAGTTGGGATCGCCCCCGACGAACTCGCTGACTTCTACTGCGCTGGGCTACCAACTGACCTCCATCTTCTCATTACAAGTAATGGGCTGGTGAAGTATTCCTCCTGAGAACAAGCGGCGACAGCCGCAGCGCAGGTCTATGAACCTAAGCAGACTGTGCTAGAGCTACGAGAAAGGGCTAGTCGAGCCATAAGAGCTGCTACTGAGGCAAATGCAACCCATCGAAAGCAGGGAAATGAAATTAGGCATGGAGGAAACTCCGGGAACTGCTACGAGTGTCAGGGTTGTGGACACCCAACACGAGTTTGTCCCAGCGAAGGGGAACGAACCAACCGCCCGGGCGAGACCTGGAAGAAGCGTGGAAGTGTTGGACACTATGCACATGACTCTCCTACACACGACACACGACCGAGGAGGTGCCGAGCCGGAAAACAAGAGCAGCAGGCAACCTATTCGTCCCAGCACTGAGAAGACCGAACGGTTGAACCGAGGCCTAGGCGTGGTTGAAGACGAGCGTTCTAGGCCGCGTAGCCATGGCAAAGGGATGATGTGTGCGGTAGCGACGAGACCTAATGCCATTCTCACGTTTGTTCACCATGATCGTAGGAGAGCGAATAGGCGAATAGGTCGGTCCGATCCAACCATTTTCCGATAATTTAAGTATCTCCTGTTTGTGGAATGTGAGCTGATATGGGGTCATACGGTATATTGCAGATTTTGCTGGAAGTTTTCCAGGCACAAGTAGAATATGGCGATCATGAGGGAGCTTTGGCGGTAATCCTTTAGGTAAGGTATCGGGAAAAACCGCTCGATACTCGTACAACACCTGGGCAACCTCACATGGAATATCCTGCGCCTCTGGAGAAGTTATCCATTCGTCGAAAAGAGTGTGCTCGAGTTTCGCCATAGGCCAGGGAGACTCCTCGTCACTCTCCGCTGCCACCGAGGCGGTTGAGGCCGAAGGACTACGCCAGCCAGAGGACGTGGGTTGATTCCCAATTAACGCGCAACAAAGCGCGTCTTGCCATTCATCCGAGAGCCTTAGGGGCACTGCGAAACCGGCTTCGGGCAAAGCCAGTATGAGATGCAAACCGTACAATGGAGCCTTGAGATCCTTTGTGTCAGCCGCCGCCTGACGAAGGAGCGACGTTATCCGCGCCTTCGCCTTAGTCTTCGCGTGGGACTTAAACCTCCTTGGAGGCGGGCGTAGGAATATAGCTGCCTCCTCGGCTGAAATACCCGCCACTTGTTTGGCCAATATCTCATATGCTTGCTCTTCTGGGGTCCTTGGGTGGACTACGGTGGGACTGTCACCTTGCAGCGTTGCTTCACAAGTCCGAAGGACCGGTAACTCGCACCACTGGCCATTCACATAGGTTCGGAGTTTGTCAGACTGAAAATACCAAGCCACCTTGTGTTCCGTCAGCCAATCCAAACCCAAGGCTGAGTCATAGGGAACGGGTCCCACTAAAAAGTCCCCGGAGAAACGTGAATGTCCGCACCACAGCGTCAATCCCGTCACAACCCGATCAATGCGTAGTTGCGCACCTGTAGCTACGGTGAACCTATGTTCTTTTGGAAGTCTCCGCACTTTCAGCTGCAGTCATTCGACTGTTTTAGGACTAATGAAACTTCTCGAAGCCCCAGTGTCCAAGAGGGCCTCACAAGGACTCCCTGCGAGCTCAACGCGAAGTACCGCCATCGCACCCACACAACAAAACGCTCCCCCTTGGTCGTAAGACTCTTTTGTGCAAGCCTCCCTCCACCAGTGTGGTACAATCTCTGTCGCGTCTGACCTATAGCCGTCTTCTGTTGCCTCTGCAGACTTTTTCCTGTTGTCCGTCGTCGCGTCCGGAGTCTCCTCACTCAGGATCGACGCTGACCCAGACTCCCGCCGCGTTTCCAAAAGCGGCTGAGACCCTTCCGCGTGCCCATCGCTCGTATTAGTTCCTTCCCGCAGTGAGGAGGAGTCGGTTTCCCCACTCAAGGGGGACTGGAATGACATTAGGGCCTGTCGTTACCGCACACATCATCCCTTTGCCATGGCTACGCGGCCTAGAACGCTCGCCTCCACCCACGCCTAGGCCCGCACGTTTGATCGTTCCGTCTTCTCAGTGCTAGGACGGGTGGGTGCTCTACTGCCCTTGTCCACCTGCTCGGGCCGGCCTCGTTCGTACGTCGGGCAGTCCCGAGCATAGTGTCCCACAGCGCCGCACTTCTTGCAGATTTCTCCCGGACGTCTGGTACGTTGCCCTTTGCTAGGGCAGACACGTGCCGGATGTCCGCGACCCTGACACTCAAAACAGTTAGCCTGGGTTCCCCCAGAACGATTTTCAATTTCCTGGCGCCCACTAAGTCCTTTAGCTTGGACGGCCGCCCTAATTATCTCGTCTGATCCTTTCTCGGAGTTCCAGCACACTCTGCTTGGGCTCGTAGAGCCGCGTTGCGGCGGTCGCCGCTTGTTCCCACGACTGACATTTCACGTGTCCGTTATTGGTTATTAGAAGATGGAGGCCTGTCGGTAGCCCGGCGCAATAGTAGTCCGCGATTTCGTCGGGGGCAAGACCCAACCCCCGCTCTGCCACAGCCGCAAACTGGTCGGTGTATTCCTTCGGGTCACCATTCCACCGTACCTTTGTCAACTCCGTTAACAATTGACTCTGCGACATTGTTCTGTCAAACCGCTCCAGAAGCCTGCGCTGTACTGTCGCCCCGTCGCTTAGGTCAATAGTTCTCCGTAGATACATACAATGCGTTAGAGCCGGGCCCACAAGGTGGTCTATAAGTGCATTTCCCCACTCGCGCGGTTCCAATCCCATCTGGGTGTACCGGCGCTCGATGCGCAGCAGAAAAGCCTGCATAGTGCTGCCGTCTTCAGATAGTATAGGAGTCGTTGCGCCGGGTGCCCCGGTTCCCCCTATTACAGTTCTAATCACAGTCATTGCAGACTGGAATTGGTCCCAGGTGACGAAGGGACTGTCCCCTGGCATAACATTGGGCAAATCTGTCCCCTGCGGGGGCGCCTCCTTATGCCCATGCGACCGCTCTGCCACGGTGGGTTTCTGAGTCGCGTGGCGATGATGGGCTGGTGTCCCGCTCGGTATTTTGTTGACTGACATTGTAGGAGTCTCCTGCAGCGTGGGACCGATGACGCGTCCGTTGCGGAGGTGCATCCCTTACCGAGCAAAGATTTCTAGGTGCGAGGCATTAAAGCATAGCATTTCTACTCCCAAGTCCGGAAAGAATAAAGCTTTCAATCCCGGAACAGCCCCCAAATGTAGTGCGCGGCGCCTACTGCTGCGACTACGCTGTTTCCTGCCCCTCTAACAGGTCTACATCCCACACCTAGTATAGTCCCATTTCTCGGTCTCTATAGCTTTATTCCATCGAAATACGACAATTCTAAAAGTGTCTCAAATCTGTCTCGTCGATTCGCTCTCTTCTCGGAGCTCACCTCCTAGGCCCTAGGGGAGGAGATCCGCATTGGTGCCGGCGCTATCGCCAACCCCAGTCTCCACACAATTTCCGCACATTTCACGTTTTCATTAGAACTGACTAACTGTTTTTCCTATTTTTTTCTTATTGGGAGGGTCCTGTCCTCCTCCAGTGTCGCGGCCCCTTGTAGGTCGCTAGCTAGCTATCATCTCTAGGCCAGCCCCATTGTAGTGCCTCTGCACTACACCTGCCCCTCGAGCAGGGCCTACAAACGGCACCTAACGGCTCATTTCCTTGAAACACTAGCTTATGTTTACCTAAATACAGTAATTCTTAAGTTTTTCAAAATCTGTTGTTGTTCGATTCGCCCCACTCTGGGAGCTCGCCTCCTAGGCCCTGTGGGGAGGAGGCCTGCACTGGTGCCGGCGCTATCGCCAGCCCCAGTCTGCACACATTTTCAGGCACCTCCAACGTATGCATATTAATTCATAGACGTTTTGCCTTACTTTGATCCTAGTAGGAGGGTTCTGCCCTCCTCCAGTGTTGCGACCCCTTGTAGGTCGCTAGCCAGCTATCGTCTATAGGTCACCAGCAAACCCCATTGTAATGCCTGTGCACTACATCATCGGCTTTACAATTAGGACTTGAGCACTTCGAAGCAAAACGCGTGAACTGTCCCTAGAGAGAAACAAGAGTGTCTCGGCTCCTAAGGCCTTTCCTGTGCCTGGCTAGCATAGTCGCTTTCGTGGACGGAATCACAACAGTGGCTCATCTATTCGAAAAACAAACTAGCGATACGAGGTTTTATCCACTTGCCTTTATGTAATCCATGATGCATTCCATGCGTTGTGCTATAATTCAGTACAACAATTCTAATGAATCAGTCTAGAGAAGTGAGCACTTGAAATCGAAATGACCGCAACATTCAGATGGTTATCTTATGTCGTTAGAGCTACTCAAAAAGAGATGCACCGCTTATTATCAAGTAAATAGAGCTTGTGGCACCTCCTCAACAAAAAGTCGCGCATACCGAAAATTTTGGGTCTATTGAAAAATTGGATTATAAGGAATAGACGGAAAATTTTCTCCTTTTGAAGCAATGCATGAATCAAAACCACAAGGCACGCTTCCCCAGGAGAAAGAGGATGCTGAATCTTCTCCTGAGATAATTCGCGTTGCTACAAACACTCATGTTCACTCACTGACTCAGCAGAAATTACTGCATTTCTTCGAATACTACGCCATGTGTTTTGGCAATACTTTTCGTTTACTTTTTGCTTTCGATGTATTCCACTGGATTTCCAAAGTGCCATCTCAAACGTCGATGCACTCCTAGTGCAGAAAGCCTCTGGAAAAGAATTAACCAAGGGCCCCTGTATCGCTTCTCACACTGTATGTTACTTGGTATCCGGTTTCCAGAAAATTCGGCTGCTATTTGAGGAGACCAGCTAAATAGAAAAGGAAAAGTATTCTCATACAGGTTACCCATAGCATTGAATCCAAAACTTGAAATGCAAAATACCAGCTCAGAGGCAAGCATATGCTTCGTGTGTTTACGTGCTGTATAAGAATTTCGAGAAACACACCAGTCCACTGACGTCAAACTTAAAACACACAGTCTAGGTATTCGCTAAACCGGGTGGAATTGACGCACAAGACTGGTTGGCTTTCGTTCGCCCAACTATGTTTTCTATCGCCTCTACACTTTATGATATTTGTTCCAAAGACTAGTGAAGAAGCGTTCCAGTGCTGAAGCAGCAGAAAACGCTCATACTACTTCTGCATCTTATGAATCTGCCGCATCCACAAAAACTACCCGACGAGACGTATCTGCAAACACTTCATCCTTCCGCAAAATCCAATCTATTATTTTCCCGAGTCATGTCAACGTTCCGCACTCTCCACTAAAATGTGGACTTTGATTCAGCCAGTACTCATGCTTTACATGCTCATGCGGAAAGGGCCATAAATGGAGCTGAAGCAAAAGCTGCAAGATTTCCAGATCTGTTTCACTATCATCTAGTACCGCTCTAAAATGCCAAAACATAGTAGAGAAAAAGCAAGGAATATTCTGGAAATTGACTGATGTATTTGGAACAGCTAAATGCAAGGTAAGTCGCAAATGGCCATTCTGCAGTGCTATTTCATATATGGCTACCCCGTGCGACATTAGCAACCGTAGAAAAAGAAGGGCTAGCAGAACGTCCCGCCTGAATTAAAGAGGCAAATGAGGGGGCTCGAAGGCTCGCAGCGGAACATCAGTATCTACGGAGACAAATCAGAATGGCGCGGAACCAAAATAGTGCAACTGCCACCAAGTCTACTAAGGCCAAGGACGTTGGGCTTCTCGGAAGGATGAACAGCTGACAGAGCCAAGCGGCGGCGCAAAGAAACCCCAATCATAATTAAAGTGGAATTCTTAATAACACACTTAACGACTAGAAGAATGACTTGCAAGCCGGGGAACGTTGCACAGGTGAGACCAGTCTTTGATTGAGGGCGCCCTCGACGTTGCCACGCCTGGCATTATGCTAATGTTTAAGGCGAAAGAACACCAGAACCCAGTCACTTAGTACGCAGAAGGATTACATATATTATGCTCAAGCCGTCAAGCCACAGAACACCACAGATGACCGGCTCAGCACAGCCAGGACTCAAAGAAAATATTCATGAGCAAACTTAGAAGTTATGCTTCGAGCAAAACATTGCAATTATGATACCACGGGATATAAACAATTTGAATTTGTATGGCGCCACTCTGTCTATGACGAACATTCACACCGAACAAACATGACTGCACTGCTGGAGCCAGTGAGCGGCCAAGTAACCCTGTTGCAGACCACGTAAGAATGGAAGGATACCACTGATTATTATTTCTCGAAACATGTACTAATTAATTTGTCAGTACGGCTTTTGCTAAAAATGCGTCGGCCAGAATATTGCTCATGCATTGAACCGCGTGCATTTCTCTGCCGGTAGCATTACCATAGGAGATGTGGTTCTACCTCACAGGTTAACCATGCAATGGTGTGGGGTAGTCCATTGGGGACCATGGCAACGAGACAAATAGAGAAATTCTGTCTCAGCATTTTTGTACCGACATAAAATTTGAAACTTTTGCTCTAGTCACTCTTGTTTTCTCATTGAAAATGCGCCACTTCTTGTTGGTACCCAATTTTTTTCTCGCTGTCACCGTGACCCACGCAGAAAGGGCGCCTTTACTAAGCGAGGGCCCATGCGCATTGGACAGGGAATTAGCCTCGCAGAATGGCCGAATTGTTGCTTTTTCTAGAAGGCAGTGGCTCCAGCCTTCTTCTGTCATTGCGAGCCTTGCTTTTGTCTTGGCTGCAGTGGCAGTAGGCTTTGCTATTTTGGAGTGCTACACGGCACTCAAAACTCATTCCTTGAGAGGAATTCATGGCCTTCGAAGTCGAAGGATATCGGCCGGTGGACTAAAGTCTTGCTCTGTGAGTTAGGACACGGGAAGATACTCACTGCCGCCTGTGACGGTTCCGGATGGTCAATGCTGTCAGCCACCACGTAACACATGGGCGGATGCGTATTGTTTGGTGAGAAACAACATGAAAAACAGGGCGTAAGTAATGGCCCCTTCCCCGCCATTTGCAACACAGGTCAGGAAACTTGCTGAAGACGGCGCTTTTGGCGTGGTTCAAGTTCATGAGCCTCCGTTAGTGGTGGGTTCGTGCTCTTACACCACACTGCAAACCGTCATGTGTAATAAGATATGCGTGGACTGCACAAACGCAAATTTGCGGAGTATAATTGAAGCTTATTGCGTCGACCGCAGAGGAACTGCAACAAATGCACGGAGTGGGACAGCTCGAGCGCAGAGCTTTTTGATTGCGGTAGATTTAGCTCAACAAAACAGCATTTTAGCACATTCAGCCTACTTGTGAAGCATGGACCGAGCCAACAGGGGTCCTGAAATGTATCAGAATGTGATTAGTGAGGGACTATGTGTGGAACAGTAGAACTTACAGCTTGCAAGCCTCAGGCGCATATTGTGCAGGCCAGTGACACACAAATGACGCGTCACGAACAGATATAGTCTACGCGTATTTGTGCTCTTCCCAGCGATGCAGCATGCGATGCATCTTCTGACTGTGCCACGAACTGGCAATGCTGAGGCATCGAGGTTCCTGTAGATTATGTGCCTAGGTGGATCATGCCTAGTGCAGCATCCATACGTGTTTAAAGCAAGACGAACGATGGCTGCTCAGTACACGCCACTCATCGAATCACGCGCATAACAAGACACGAAATACATGTTTTTTTTCGCTGATGGACTGCTTTCTCGCTGGCTGAGGGATAAATGCATCTTAGAATACTCGATCAAGTGTTAGCGCACGCACATTGCCCTCGTGAAAAGTGAAATAGGCTCATTAGATTTGATAGCCAAGAGTTACTTTTAGTGCAACGCATCGACTTTTCGACTGCAACCGCTTACGCATGGCGGAGACGATTCCTTTGTGTGTCCGGGTACTTCCTGAGCAGCCTCGACAGAGCAAATTTAGTTTTAGCTGTAAAGTGATTTAATTTCCGTCAAGCAAGTACGTATGGAGGCCATCCTAGGTTGCTTCCAGCTGATACTTCACACTCTTAAGAGCTTCTGTGGTGCACACCAATTTGGCAGTAGCTTTGGCTCCTATTATCGCTGTGTGGAGCGACGTTCACATATAAAATTGGATCTGGATTCGTCCTTTTCGCCTGAGCATGC